GTCCCCCGACTTGCGACGCGATCGGTTCCCGGGAAGTGTTGCAAGTTGGGAGCGTCGTAACTTGAACCCTCATTTACAAGAGGTGATGGGTCCCGTCGTAAATGCAGGCCGAGGACGTAAGTCCGGAGTTTTCAGCCCCTTCCACACTTACAAAAATGGTGGTAAGTGCGGGGGGTTGTAACTCAGGTGGTCGGAGGTCGGGGTTTTCCTGTACAAGAGCCTGCTGACTCTGGGCTATTCATGAGTGCCTGCTTTGAAATGTACAAGGTGAAGTGAGCCCCCCTCTCCAGTCATGTGGGGGAGAGATCGGAGGGGAGGGGATTAGTGAGTTACAGACTGAATTTCTAGTTCATTACAACAGTGTCTCGTTTTATGGGGAGGAGTGGCTGTGTGTGTGTAAATGTTGCCCCAATTACACCAGCGTGGCATTTCAGCGGAACCTGGGATCAGCTGAGGACTCCCCAGCTGGAGTCTTGGGAAATGCCGTGCGGAGCCCGGGATTAGTTGGCTCCCCAGTTGACCCCGGTTCTACATGGCATTTCCCCAAAACCTGGATTCTGGGGAAATGCTGCTTGGAACCTGGGGTTAGCTAGGAAGTCCCCAGCTAACCCCAGGCTCCACAGAGCTTCAGCGTTTTAATGGGGCTGCCCCTTTGAAACACTGCTTTAGGGTTTCAAAGCGTCAGCGTCACACAGCTGATCCCTGGCTCAGCTGTGTGGTGCTGCTGCTTTGAAGTACCCCTCCCCCTGTCCCCTTTGCTGCCTCTATCTCACAGAGGCAGCAAAGCGGGGAGGGATCGACTAGTCCTTAACATCCCTACTGGGTACAGGGAGACACATTTTCATGACATTTCAGAATAGGAAAAAAACCTAGTTTGTGGCTGTGTGTGGAAGTGGGGCCCTTATGACAGAGAAGAAATATGAGTTTGCCCCCTGCATAATCCCCAGCAGGATCACCGTTCTCTAAAGGATGCACAGGGAAGGACGCACTTTCAGTTCTTTGCAAGGAAATACCATCTTGTTTGTTCAACTTGATAGTTTCTCTGCACTGGCTGAGAGCCCATGAACTACAGCATAGGGCAGTGGTGAGCAACATGGGGCCATTGTGGTTCTGTGTGAGGCTCACAAGTTGTTTTATTTACCATTGCCCACACACAGGATTGACAGGTTCCACCAGTTTCCATCCAGGAGGGTTTTTTCCTACCAGTATCACTAAAGTGACATGCACATAAAGCCAGGGCACCCAACATTGATGATGAGAGCCCTGCACTCCCTCTGCATCCAATCAAAGCACTGTTGTTGTCGTTTAATTGGCACAGCCCGCAAATTCTAGGCACACAAGCGCAGTTAGCAAAATTACCCTATCATGGGAGCCCATCTTGGTTATAACAGTCTCATGAACCAATGAGGTGGAGGGCCACTGGTGGGGCCCGCTTGCTAGCCTAGCTTATTTATTGCTGGCATAGGGTATAAACATGACATAGATAAAACCACTACCTGGATTATTGTCCTAAACATTTCTAAAGCCTGTGTTTCGGGTCTTTTTCATCACCGAAGAAGCAAAGTTTGTTTGAGTTTTTGTTTCTGACCAGTAATTAAAGTACCATGTACAAGATCAAACACTTATTTCATTAGCTAATTGGATCATCATCAGTCTAAGGTGTGTTAATGAATCTTGGTGGATTTATTAGAGAAACCAGTTTGAAAATCCAGACAATTTCTAAAAGCTGTATTAAAGTCCCTCAACCAATTTGTATGGCCCAAAAATGTTGCATGAAAGACCACACAAACAAAAAGCAGAGGTAACTCAACCCAAACACACAATTATACCATTTTCTCAAAGCAAACTTTGTGACTCAATAACAGAACATCTATTAACAAAGCGCCAGAAATTTAAGCAACTTCTCCCTGATCAGGGCTATTCATTCAGACCCGGAGCCTAGAGTTCAGAGACAAGCCTTTATTCCTAGGCAGGTGATCTCTGAGGCACAGGAGTGAGCCTGAATCTGCTCTTCTTAGCACCTGTTATGTTGACTGCACATACTATTATCAAGTGCAAAGAGCTAACTGAAAATCATGTTTTTCTCTAATTTTTTGTTTGTTTTGTAACAGTAGCAAGCCAAAAAGAGAGTTTTTTTAAAAAGCTGTCCCTTTAAACTTCCTTATTTCCTAACTGCTTATACAGCCCGGTTTGGGGGGGGGGGTTGCTATAGCAGAAGAGAAAGGGAATTCAGTATAAATACCTGCTAATCACATTTTTGGGCATTCAGTTGTTTTGGAATTGAGAAAAATTTGTTTAAACCAGTATTAAAAGGATCCTCCTGACTGTATGTTCTTTAGAGTAGGATTCTTGTTAAATCATTTGGAAAATGTTTCTCTACTAAAGCGAGTGTCCCAAATGCCTTTATCAGAGTCTCTTAACACAAATCTGAAAATTCCTTGTCTTGCTCAAGATGGAGTATTGTATGCGGGGATATGTAGTCTCCAGGCTTCCTGTTTTTAAGGTGACTTCAAGTCTAAGGATGACCGTAGCAGTCTTCTCTTATCGGAACTAAGTACTGCTTCTCTGGCTACTGGCCCAGGAGAGCAAAGTTCTGTTTAATCTGCTGAGAATTTTGTGCTAGAGTTCAATTGCAGATGGATGACATGTGAAACAGTTTGAGATGTAACCGTTATAGGAAAATGTTCTTTATACATATTTTATGCATGAAAGGATGAAATTGTGGGTCTCTCCTAGTATTTTATGAAATCTGAGTAAAACTTCCCAGTGGGAAGAGTAGAGGGGAAAATTCTGTTTTACTTTATCCATCCTGTTTTCTATCCTCTTGAATTTCAGATGACTTGAGGACAGTGTGTGCTCGGCTACCACACAACAAGTAAGGGGCCTTTCTAAAATTCTGTTTATTTTAATGTATATTTCAAGGCATTTCCTAGATGTTTGTTGAGGCAAGCCTCTGCCCCCAAAGAACTTTTAATGTAAGTGCTTGTTTTGGAAGGTGTACTTTAGTTAAACACTAGTTTTGGGGATCAGCAGAGAGGCAGTTGGGTGAAATTTCAAAGATTTATACCTTCATAGATTCGGGTCCAGAAGGAACTTTGTGATCATGTATAACACAGGCCAGAGAGCTAACCCCAAAATAATTTCTAGAGCATGTATTTTAGAAAAATATCTAATCTTGGTCTAAAAATTGTCATGGATGGCAAGTCCATCATGACATTGGTAAATTGTTCCAATGTTGAATTACCTTCACTGTGAAAAAGGTTACTTGTTTCTAGACTAAATTTGTTTAGCTTTGTTACCCCTTTCTCTGCTACAAAAATGAGCCCTTTATTAAATATACTTCCCATGTAGGTACTTCTAGACTGTTATCCCTTAACCTTTTCTTTGTTAAACTAAATAGACTCCAGGAGCTCAGTCACTATAAGCCGTGTTTTTTCTAATCTTTTAATCATGCTCATGGCTCTCCTGTGAACCCTCTCCAATTTATGAACAACCTTCTTGCATTTGCGAGCACTTTTAAAAAATTGGCAAGCATTGACTTTCTTCCAGTCCTCTGGAACTTACTCAGTGAATCAAGAGTTATTGAAAATCAACAGTAGTATTTCAGTGAGCTCATCAGGGTGCTCTTTTAAAACTCTTGGATGCAAATAAAGTGGATCTGTTAATTTAAAAATGTCTGACTTGACAAGTTTCTGTGAAGTTCCTTCAGAGATAGTGGAATGGAGTGTTATCACCATATGTATTGTATCATCTATGTTTCCCCAAATACAGAGCAGAAATATTTATTGAAGATGTCTGTCTTTTCTGCCTTATTATTGATAATTCCACCACTTCTATCTAGTAATGGACCAATACCATTTTGTTCTTAACTTTTTTCTTTAAAAGGTTAACTGGTAACTTTGCAGGCCACAGATTTCCCTATGTTCCTTTGTTTCCCTTAAATTTTTTCTACAATTCCTAATTTCTCATTTGTATTCATTACTATCAAGCTCCCCTTTATTTTTATGTAGTAATTAATATAGCTGCCTTCACGTCTGCTCTAAATCAGGAAGGTCGTCTTCCTCAATTGGCTTTTTGGGCGGTGTTCTTAATCATTCTCAACTACATTCACTTCCGCTCTAAATCAGGAAGGTCTTCTTCCTCAATTGGCTTTTGGGGCGGTGTTCTTAATCATTCTCAACTATCATTAAAGATACTTTATGATTTCAGATATATAAGTGGTCATGCAAAATGATTTAATTGTTCTTTCTGGCCTTAAAATCTGTATAAATCCCTAAGCCAGGGGGACCCCGTTAAAGTAGGAATGTGAAAGATTAACTGGTTACTTGATAAGCATCAGCCTTAATGGATACTTACTGGTTCCGGTTAACTGGTGGGGACTGGAGTAGCTCCCTTCCTGCCATGGGCAGAGGGCTTATCCAGGCTTGTGGGGGTCCCACCTCCAACGGGGCTGCTGTGGACACTGGATGTGTAGAGCAGCCCCTCTCCGCAGCACACCCCAGGGAGCCACGGGTAGGGACTGTTCCGAATGGACTGGAGCAGCTCCTGTCTGCAATTGGGGGCCACTTCATCCTAGCTAGGTTGGAGCGGGCCCCCTCTCCATTGGTTAACTGGTTAAACTTCACATTTAACTGGTTAACCAATTAAATGGGATTTTACATCCCGACATTAAAGTCAGTGAGGCTCCTCCTTGCTGGATCCACATAGATCAGCTTGCAGGATAAGGGCGTGGATTAAGGCAATTAGGCAAACAACAAGGGGAAAGTGAAATGGAATTTTTAAAAATTACCTCTGCCCCATTGCTGATCCCCTCCCCCCATTTTACTTAATCCATGCTTAACTGTGTATCTTTTTAATATTAGTCAGAATATTTAAATCCAGGAGTCTAAAAGTAAGCTTCTGTATCTGAAAATCAGGCCATTTCTATTTAGGTTTCTAAATGTGGGTTAAGTCTAACTTTCGGCGCATGGGGTAGAAAATGTTGGCCTTACCATTTTCCTTGTTCTTTAAAATATGAACCATTGCCAATTTTGGGTATTTAACCCTAGCTTATATAAAGCTTGGATGGTCTTGCCTCTTTTTATCCTCCCTCTGAAACTGTCCTGCATCCTGGCTGTAGAGCTTCACCGAGCATTGCCCTTCTGGGAGAGTTAACCACAACCTCCTCTTTCTTGGCAAGCTAGTTGTTCAGTAGGCTTGCTAAAAATACTTAACTCTGTTATTTGTCATGGACAGTCCTCCTTTGAAAAATAGCACTGTGCGCATACCATGCACCATACACATCAGTCTGCGGGATGTCATAAGCATAATTGCCACATTTTCTCCCTACCATGCTTTCTGATATTTGAGCCTATGAATGATGCTAAGCATTGGTAAGGCTTTTAAGTCCTTCTTGTCATGGAACAGGCCTTCTGTCAAACTGCTCCTTATTTGGACAGTTTATTAGTTGAATAATACTTACATCTGTCTGGCACTTCTTTTCACAGCCTACTTCAACTGGTGATTTCAGGTCCAGTGCAACAACCAACCCATGCTGCTTTGCCACCAGGATTTTATCCTCATATCCACACCCCTCCGCTGGGCTATCCTGCCCATGCAGCACACCCTGCGTTGCCTGCACATCCGGCTCATCCAGCACTCCCAGCCCATCCGGTGCAGACATTCATACCAGGCATGACTTTCCCATACAGGCCTATTCGCTAAGAAACCTTGCTTACACTGCACAATGTGCCCCTGTTTTCCCCACCCGGGGAAGCATTGCAGAGGAAAGCAGACATTTATGGAACCACACTTTTCCTCTTTAATCTTGTGCTATGTGATGTCTACAAGGAGGAGTTTCTTCAGGAGAAGGGGCAAATGCTAGGCTGCACTAGCCCTAAACATGGACAATTTCTTACTCATCCAAATTGCATGGATGAAAGGAAAAAAAAGCCTTCTGGAATGTATGGGGTTTTTTTTAATGTCAACTCTGACTCATCTAATGAGCAGTACCATTGTATTTCTTAGTCTGGTGTTTCTCTCAGGTACACATTTGTCTGACCTGGTAGTGAGACCAGCTATTCTCTTGCTCCTTATTTATGAGGGACAGTAGGAAAACCATACCAAGACTTGTAAGTTCGTCCCATGCCCCTGTCCTTTCTCTTTGTAAACATTTGTGCCCATACCAACGGAGTGTCGCACACTGTATGATTTGGGCATTGTGAATGTTTGCTTCAGAAGTGCAAAGTAGGAGAAACTGTGAGAGGAAACCACTAAAGAAAGAGTGATCGCTTGCCTCTCTTTTATCTCTTAAATGGTGTTCAGCATATCCAGTTATTGTTAGGCCTCTGCCAGGAAGGAACTTCCTTCCTTGGTGATTGCAATATCCTTGGGGTTCTGGTAGGTCTCTGCAATATCCTTTTCTCATGGTCTACACGTTTGTTGGTTTGAAATTAGAGACCTCATCTGGTATCACTAATGCTGGTTGGCAAAAACAGATCAGCATCTTAATGCATCAAACTAGGTACTGATGTTAAGCAATTTAACCTTTTTACTGCAATTAATTTGCAGCCAAAAACAAAAAAAAACCCAGATTGTTCCAGAGAAGGTAGGTTCCCAGTACCACAGGCTTTTAATTGGAAATGGGGTACTTTATGGAAACACGTTCTAGTCATGATAAGTTTGTCTTCGGTATCACTGCAGAGAAGTACATAATGCATCCCTGCTGAGAACTGGGGGTGGTTTTCTAGCACAGTGACAATAATGTAGTTCTCTAAGCCACTTTATTGGCTTTAGGGGGAAGCAAGGGCAAGCTTTTCCCAGGAGTCAATCACTTTATTTCTTTATGCACATTTCAGATGTCATGCTATTGGCAGAGACATGTGGCAGCAATAGTTATCCAATTGCACACTAAAATCAGAGGACAGAGAGATGGAAGGGGTGTGTGGCATTTGTAAGTCATTCAATACATTACAACTGGAGAGTAATCCTGATGTTTATCTGCTTCTCTTTCACTGGAAAGATTAAATTCATCACTTTGTAGAACTCCAACACAATGAAAAGATCTTGAAACTATGAACTACTGAACATTAAGAGAGATAAAGTTATTTATCAGTACCCATTGTACCATATCTCCTTTGAAAGGTTACTTGAAAGGGGGAAGTGGAGTTGGCAATAACCCTGATGTGTAACAGCCATGTTTATTTTGTTTTTATCTGTAGCTACTTGATTTTAAATTGTCTGCAACCTGTTTTCCAAAACTTGCGCTGGGGGGGGAGCTCCATGTTTTTTTTTTCTTGAATTAAAAGTCTTGCATTTCTTTCTTGTTTGTATCTCTGACCTATTCCAGCCACTTACATTAAAAACCTTGATTTAGAATTTTCTGTCGTCATGGTGTTGAAGGATTATCGTTTCAAATTAAATGATGTCATTAGCAGACAACCTACAAAACAAATGGGGACTTCCGTTATGGTGTAGGAACCATCTAACCGCTACCTTTTCATGAGTTGGGTTTGAGAGAGGCTGTCCTGGCAGGGGTCTGGGGCTTGTATGGGTCTATTAGCAGGTTTTGGGGGGCCCTCAGAATAAACCAGAGAGCAGTAACAACATTAGACTCATTGGGGCCCCAGGGCAAAAAGCTGAAGTCTGAGCCTGGGACTGATGCTCAAGACTGATCAAGTTAGCTTTGTGAGGAGCTCAAGGCTGCATTGGCTTATCTCCCTGCAAAAGGTTGTATATTAGTTTTATGATTGTAATAAATTCTTCCAAGGTACATTTACAAAGTTCCAAGGGTACAGCTCTTTGACTAGAGCAGTTCTGGCAGGCTGTATTTTCCCTGTGCATGAAGGTGAGACTTTCATTGTAAAACTCTAGATAAATGCATGATTTTGGCTCTGGATGTAGAGAGAAATCTGAATTATGCATGAGCTACATTAGTGTAGGAGGGGTAGCCATCCATGTTCATCTGTATCTTCAAAAATGAGTACGATGGCCCCTTAAATAATAAATGTGTTAGTCTTCAATGTGCCCCAAGATTCCTTGTTTCTACATGAAAGCCTCCTGGGTCTGGCACCTATGAATCTGACAGGTCCCAGCTGAGGGATAGTGTGGGACTAAGGGAGGTCATTTGTGGCTCCCCTGCTGCTCCACCAGGCTTCACCCTTCTCTTCCCCTCTGAACCACAAACCAGGCTTTCCAGAGCCGGGCCTCCCCACAGTCCGGCTGGGCTGCACTCCAGGCTCCTGCCCCTGCCCCTGCCTGGCACAAGAGTCCTCCTGAAATCGATGTGGTCCTACCCGAGGCGAGTCCCGGTTTATAGAGGTGCAACCCTGACTCCTTTCCCAGTGGCTTTCAGAGGGGGGAAAACTGCCCGGCATTTCCCCCCAGCCGAGCGGGAAACCCTCCTGTGCACGCGGGCCCCCGAGACAGCGCTCTGCCCAGGAGCCCTGCTCCATGGGGGGCAGGGGCCGGGACC